TCATTCATCAAATTAACCCAAGAATTTGATGCTCTCAAAAATTTTTGAAGGTCAAATGTGTTTTGTTACATTGCTTTTCATTTATACAAATAATGTGCCTTGGCATGACACTGAAAGAAATAAAATAATAAAAAAAATCTCAGGAAGAAATATTGTTATTTTGTATGAATAAATATAACTCTAATTTCAATATAAATAAAGTATATTATAAACATAACCCATTGCAAAGATTACATGTAAACCTGAAATTATGCATAGAATCATAAAGTTGGCCTCTCAGAGAAATTAAACTAATAATGATTATTATTCAATTATAGTTTAGTTACTATCTAACTTACTACTTATAGTAAAATATATTATTATAAGTAACAAAATGTCAATGAAAAATTTAGAATGAAAAGGAATTTCTACCCTCCTTCCTCCTTTTTGGAGTCCATCTCTAAAAAAGTGTGTTTAATGCCTTTGTGTCAATCTAAGCTTCTGCCAGCCCATTTTTGTGTTTTGTCAAGCCACAACTGGATTTGCAAGTGGCAATGGGCAGGGTACATTAAACAAAGAACTTGTTTGTTATGACAAATAAAATTTCTACATTGGTGATCACAAACCAGAAGATGGTGCATTGTGAGGCTGCCTAAGTGAACCAGCAACATTGTAAGTTTAGGGCAACCAAGGATGTATATGGCAGAGTCATTCAGTATGGTGTTCAACAAACAGTGAACTTCTTCCAGGTAATGCAATTATTAAGTTGTTCACATAATTAAGCCTGTTGCCGCAATGTGTGATCGTGAATTTAGCATAAAATGATAAAAATTAAGATGGATGATTTGTTGGAATTTTTTTTCAAACTTAAAAAACAAAGTAAATGCTGGCGTTCAATAAGTAAACAAATGAATTCAATAGTTGTACAAAATACTGACAAATCTAGAATTATTTAATCCTTACCGTTGACTCAATGACTTATATTACATTACAATTATAGTAGGCCCTTTCATTTCAGTCACGATTATTAGACCTTGTCAAAAAGCAGTATATTGCCGATTAGTCATCAAATGTCATTCTCCAGTAAATACACACAGAATTATATCATAATATAAGCGTAAACGTATCAAAATTAGAGTATAAAACAGATGAAAAATATATATTTATTACCTAAAAAGACATAAAAAACTAATAGAAAAAGAATGTTTTAGATGACTGGCCCAAGCGGAAAATGGCGTTATAAATTTCAATTGTCAAACACAAGTTTTAACATTTTCAAACCTGAATACATGACGAAAACTGAAGGTTAGCGTTTAGAGCAATATATTATCGACTAATTCAAGTTTTTACAGGTGTATTTTTTGAAATTACTTACCTTTCTAATAATAAATGACAGGAACACACAGCACTAGAATAATCACTGTTATATCAGTTGTAACAACATTACAATACAATACGAGCTGCTTGTTTCCACAGGCTATAAAAATTCTGTATCGTAATGTTGGTCCAATCGTGCACTGTGTGCATCTTTTGAAAGGATACATTAAGAGAAACGACTTAAGTTAAATATCGGAATTAAAGTTGAATTGCGTTGAGTTTGGTTTAACTCCCGTTATTACGACTCCGCCGGAAATACATCAGGGAACTTCTCAAAATACAAGATGTCTAATGAAATATTTGAAGTCGAATTTCTTTTTTGTAAAGTTTATGTTTGCCGCTATTGACGACAAGTTAATATTTTTAAAATAAAGTATTTTTGTTTAAAACAAATATCATAAAGAATGTTTAATAATAATATAACTTATATTAAAGATGGAAATTTACCGTTATTTCTCATTTATTAATACTCATTTGCACATTAACTTGGTTATTAAGTAAGAAAGTAGAGTTCAAATCCACGAACTCTCGCACTTAGACAGAAACTTCGATATAGTCAGCCGAGACCGCCTTTGCGGTGAATCTTGATATTAGTAGCGATAAAATTACTTGTCGAATCCGTGATTTCAATTCAGAGTTAACAGACGCTGTTCCACCCTACCCCTTCAGTGAGGATACCCCAATAAATCGTATCTTCTAACCTTATATGTATACTAGTGATATACCTATGTATTGTAATAAAATGTTATTTATTTAGTATTATTATTTTTGTCACTAGCCAGCGCTTAACTGCCACCCTACCTGATAGTAAGTGATGATGCAGCCGTTGATGTTAAGCACGCTAGCTCAGTAAAAACCTATTTATTCACTCTTGACTTCAAGGCGCCTTTGTTGTAATCGGAAAAATAGACGCCGGTAAGTTGTTCCGTTCCTTAGCTGAACGGATGATGTATGACAAAGCGAATCACTTCGTTCTTATGCGTGGAACGTCGACAGTCTAAGGGTGGAACCCCACCTAATGCCTAATTGTCTGATGATGTAAAGGAACGAGAGGAATCAGATCGTACACTCTCCAAAATGCATCCTTCAAAAAACCGAGAGTCTGGCTACTCTGCGCCTATGCTCAATGCTAGTAAGGTTGATTTTAACCAAGTTACGGTCACCAATGAGCCTTTCTTTACGCCTCTCTATTGAGTCCAAGGCAGCCACATTGCATTTCGCAGTCCTAGCTCTGATATGGCAACAGTACTGCATACACGATCGAATTTGGACACATTCCGGAAAGTAGAAGCCAAGGTGAATGGGTTCCTTTTTGCGGAAAAAAGGACACGCCTCTGTTTTGTAGGCGTTGAATCTCACAAGAACGGCATCACCCCATTAAGAGATCGCCTCCAATGTAAGATTCAAAAGCTCTACCATGGCCTCTCTTTCGGACTGGATGAGATTGCCGAAGACTCGGTTGGTATCTCTCTTCAACTGTGCTGTCGTCCGCGTGCCCGTAGACACCGGGCATGAGCAGATCATTGATATGCAGCAAGAAAAGAGTCGCGGAACGGTCGGATCTAGGGAAACCGCTAGTAGTTCACCATTGTTCTCGAGGACCTCGCTCCAAAGGTGAATGGCGTACACTAGAAGGTCCCAGTTGACCGATATCAGCAAAATTCGTATTTGCGGTCGCTGAGAAGGTCGTTGGTTCTAGGTACGCCATGATGAGGGCGTTCAATATGCGCTCCATAATCTTACAGAGTATGATGGTAATTGAAATTGGTCTGTAATTGGCAGAATCGGCACGACTACGTCTACCCTAGACGTACCGATACTTTTGAGAGGCTGCACATTATTTTTATATATTGTTCGTTATTATTAAGTTATTTTGATAATATTTTTAAATATTTGTAATTAAAATATATTATACTTACCTTGACAAAACGTGAAACTCATTTAAACAATAGCTTTGATTACATGTTTTTTTTGGGGATATTCACCAGTGTCAACGTAAAAACGTAAATATAGTAGTAAATATATTACATTTACCCTAACAAAACGTGAAACTGATTTAAACAGTAGCTTTGAATACAATACAGGGTTTTTAGGGATATTCAATAGTGTCAAGGTAAATATAGGAAAATGATTAAGTGGATTGGTAATCAGCAGTTAGAGTTATTTAGAGGTTTTTATTTCTTTTAGTAGTTGGTAGCACTGACTTGAGATCTATGGACTCTGTGACAGATTCGAATTTGAAAATAAATCGTTTTTGATGAATTTCGATGTTGAGTATTTTGTATGACAAATCGATGTATCGGATCCAAAAATATTGATAGATCAAATTAAAAATATCGATACATCGATGTATAGTTACTTTTCAACATCTCTACCTCGTACCTTACTTAATCTACAACACTACTTAATCATAATACAATAATTGAATAATTTGACATTTATCAAATTGGAAGAGTAACAATTGTCAATTTACTGTTTTTTCATTATAAAATAATAACTGCTTTATGAAGTTTTCTCCTTATGTAAGCTCATTATATGAATTAAGTTGCATGAATAAAGGATTGACATTTTTTTTATAATTTAGTGTTTAATAAAATTCTACAATGCCTGTGTCTTGCGATGTCTAACTTTGGTGTTGGGGTTTATTTTTTATCCATCATTTGGTTCATTACCCTCCTGCTGCTTTGGGTTTCTTTAAGAACAGGTCATTACATAGGAAAGGTGTCTGTGATAATATCTGTTGCTATAACGATCATATTAGTTTCATTGCCAAAAGGTAAATTAGAGGATTCGCTAGTTGCCAATTTTTACGATAAAACATTCGTTCCTCGTTACGTGACTCTCTGTCTGTTGCTTGTTAGTTTTGCGGTTGGTTGTGTGTTTACTTTTGTCTATTCATGCCTTACCCCAGTGGAAACTCACAAAGTGAAAACTTTTGGTATAAATAACTAAATTCATCTTCTTTCTCTTGGTAAGTTCAGTTTCTCCTAAGTGCTAATTTTATATTAATAATCTTGTCTTTTTCTGTAGTAATTCCTTCTTTCTACTGTATTTTTTATTGAAAAAAAAAATATATTTTGACGGTTATCTTATTTAGATCTATTAACATAAGAAACAAAAATCGTCCTAAAATTATGATATCACCAAAAAACCGAAATTCGTCATTGTGGAAAATAATTAGCCACAATGATAGGACTTTAATCTGCATTGGACAATCCTTTTGGTGTCTGCTCTAAAATGAAAACTCCTTTATTTTGTACCACACATATACAATTTTTTTTAATTCCTGCAAAACCATAGATAACATTATTTACATTGAAATTGTCGACACATAAAAGATCATGCATATCTTTATGACTGCAGCTTCCTTAGAGTTAATATTTTATTTGTGATAAAATCTTCATAAAGGTATGTTTGGTTTCTTGTAAGAGGCAAATCTAATTTTATATAATTATTTATTTTTCTTGTGTGTTCGACACATAATTATACTATAATAATGTCAATTTAAAAATGTTCCATTTTGATGAAAACTATAGATTAATTGTTTGTAATATTTTATATTCAATGCTTTTTACATTTGGATCACAATGTTTAATCAAATATGTGTGTAGCTTAATTTCTCATTGACTATTGTTTCAGTTAAAATGAGTAAAGCAATATGCAAGGGGCTTCGATCGCCCATTAGAAGTTTAATAAACTTGAGAAGGGCCAAGACTATATCAACCTCTTTAGTCCACAACGAAACCATATTAGTAAAGAATAATGAGGAATTTGTGAATAAGGTACATATACAAACAATTTCAAACATTAGAGGTGCAAAATTTGTCTGAGCTGTTCCTGCAGTTACTATTTTTCTTATTCATTGGCAAATGGCCAAGTGACATTGGACAAAAAATTGTTTTTAGTCCAATTGGTTTAGATGATATATTACATAGTTAGGAAGTGACAAATGTCTACAGCAATTATATTTGTTAGCAATTATACTGTTCTAGAGGCACAATCAAGCTTCTTATGTTATCTAAATGAGCCTGCTAATCCATGGAGGGAACATTAATGAATTAATATTTCTACTTTAGTCCAGTCTACCAGTCATCTGTGTGGGCTTACAGATATCTGCTTAGTGTCACAAAAAAAAGAGAACAAGACTGCAGTTTTTTGCCGGTTCTTCTCTATTTAGGTCTAGTTGAGTGAACCGGTGGTTTTTTTTTGACATTCAATAAGAGCTTAAGTTAAGCCTATATTGAAAAAGATATTTTGACTTTGAAAGCGGAACCTATATTCCTTTATTGGTAAAATATATGTATGTACTTTCTAAATATTTTACTTTATAATGGCAAAAGGAATGATGATCGGCTAAAATTGATTTAGTATTTGTGTTGTACTTCCAGGTGATGAACAACGACAAGCCAGTGATAGTGAATTTCCACGCAGAGTGGTGTGAGCCATGTAAGATCCTTACACCAAAACTGAAGGAACTAATTGAGCCACTCGACAACCTGGACCTTGCCATTGTCGATGTCGAGGACAACGCTGAGCTGGTGCACACTTTTGAGGTGACAATTTATTTTCAACTTTTAAGCCTGCTTCAATTTTAGTAATATAAGCTCTTAAATTTATTTGAATATATCCAATGCGATTAGTCAGATCAAAAGTCCAGAATCCAATGCATAAACAGGATTCTGCCAAAAATATCAATTTTACTAAAAAAGATGAAAATAATATGAAAAGTGCTAAAGTAATTAAATATCATTGGAATTAAGCCTATCACCTTCTCATTGTTTTTTTGCTATTACTACTGTAATGTTTCTGAATTGTTGCTGCCATCAGCTGAGGTTATATATTTATAAAAACATATGTGTGTAAAGAATTATGCTTGACTTTAATGATGTGTAATCTTCAGTGTCAAAATCAGATAAACATTTAATATTTTCAGGTGAAGGCGGTACCAGCCGTGATAGCAGTAAAAAATGGCCTAATAGTAGATAAATTTATAGGACTTGTGGATGCTGATATGATCACAAACCTCATAGACAGGATGTCTGGTAAGAAAAAACCATCATAGACCAATGGTTTGAAGAATTCTGGAGAGATTTGTTGAGACCTATTGATGTCAAGGGTACGAAGAATATAATTAGATTAGGAAATTGATTTGTTATCTGTTTATTTTAATTTTAGTTGACCATTAATTTTGTTTCTGGAGATAATCTATCATTACATCTACAAAGACTGAATGCAAGATAGATGTATTATCATCCAAAAAGTGTGTCATTACTGATTTAATGATAAAAAAACATTGTACTGTATTAACATACTTTTGGAATGCCTAACAATGTGTATGTTTAATAAGTAATTAAAACATGTTTACTTCATTTGGGATGTTGTATTGTTGCATTTAATGTTACATGTAACAATGTTCTCATTATAAAACATTGTTTGTTCAATGCTTTATTAAGAAAAATAATTGAAAATATATTGTATTACAGTTATGCCAAATATCCGTTAGTTGTCATACATTATTGTATTTTTTATATATTAAGTGTTAAAAAGAGAAAAATGTTATACATCTTTGACTTGTGCAATAGATATAATTATCAAGAGGCACAACATATATATTAAAGGATATGGTTTAGTTAAATTTTAGGTATACTATAGCGAATTAATATCCTGTAAGAATTTATTGTATACTTATTATTGCAGTATTTAAACTAGTTTTACACTGCATGACTTATTTTTGAGAAATCTTTTTCTATTTCAAAGCTAGTTAGTTACTCAATTCCCATAAGCCCTTGCTTTTAATGCATCTGTATAATTATATTTCTTCAGGCCTTTTTTAAAATTTATCTTGTTGCGGTAATTAAAATTAATGAATATAAGATATTTAATGTAAATCCCTGCCATGTACTAAAAATTTTATATTTTAGCTTATTGGATTAAAAGTGTTGTAAGCAATAATATTTAAATAATTATGTAATGAAATTATGTTGTGATCTAAGGCAATATAACATGATTTATAATGTATGATTTTTAGCTACAGATTGTATATTGAACACCAATTAAATATTTGTATACAGCTTTGCTATAACTGTTTCTTTCCTTTATTTCTTAAGTTTATTTTTATCTTTATGAAGTAGTTTCTATTTATTTTTGAATCTTTGTTTTGCAAAGATTATCTGTTTTTCTTTTCTTTTTCTGAGACTGCTTTCAAAACATATCATGGTCAAAGCCGCCTGCCTTCAAAACTTTCACTGTGAATATAAATTTTATAATCTTATTACAGTAGAAAGCTTTTTTTCGAAAATAGATGTATAAGATGGTTGCTTCTTTTGACTTTCGATATCTAACTAATACTTTTATACTACTGTTCAGTTTACAGGAAACTAAAAATAATTTCACAAACAAAAATACACTTTATGTAAGTGTGACAGAGTCCTAAATAAACATGGCGCTGTATAGAAACTATAGAAAATGTTTAAAATTGTTACATGATAAATTAAAGCTAGCATAGTTCAATATTGACATTAAGTAAACTTTAGAGGTTGTTAAATGTTTTAGATCTTATTTTTTTTTAAAGTCCACCGCCCGCTAAGAAGCTATGTAGGATATTTTATAGCATTGAACTTTAAAATGTAAAAGGCGCTAGGTGGAACTGACATTCGTGTCGAAATGTCCAGTCTAGTAGCTGCTCATCACACAGTATTATAATACATAATATATATATATAGTATATACATTGCTAATGTATTATATATATAGTATATATAAATAATTGAGCTTTTTAGGTGCTTTTGATCCGCCATTTTGATGTTGAGACAAGGAATACTATATATATTCAGGTCGTGCAAAACTTAAACAGAAAACTAACTTAAATAGAAAAATCCAGTTATCTTTTTTTATATAAAATATGATCAGACCATAAATTTATCATTACATTGCTGATCATATCTTCAAACTTACGCGGTTACTAAAATAAACGGTTTCCTAAACACTGGTCATTGTAGAAGTTAACTAATCAGCTGTCAAATGGCTTTTAAAATGCTATTTAAGATGCCAAATGAATGGTTAAACTCTCTGAATTGATCACAATGATCTTCTTAATGATTAGAATGATCAGTGTTTCAGAAACCCGGCGTTAGTTTGAAGATATGATCACCAATGATAATGATACGAGACGAACGAAAAAGTGAGAAAGCAATACCCTCACGTAGCCGAAATATAAGTGACAGATAAAATATTATTATTTTGACGCAATTTGTATTTTCAGATTTTTGCGCCTATATGAAGGGTATTAAAAAAAATATGTATTTTACGTATATATCTTAATTGTCACCATACGTATAAAAACAGAGCTTAGATTGTAGTTAGTAGGTGTAAAACCTTTTCCCCCTGAAACGTCCTATAAGATTGGAATATGAGGTACCAAATAAGATTTTATAGAACTTCTTATAACTCCACGATATGAGCTACTTGTTACTAAGTCACGTTAATGAATTCACATGGAGTTGAAAACAAATAACATAATATGCATTATTTTTAGGTAAGCTTTCTTTATCTTTGTAAAAATTATAATGCTCTAATTATGTATAGATTTTTGAGAATATTAACTGTGAAAAACTGAAATTTGTATACTAATATGAATGGAGGACCATTAATTGTGGGTCCATTTTCATTGCCCTTTGGTCTAGATATATCTTTAGTATAAAATAGAAACAATTCCACTAGTCTGATCAAGATATAAATATGTTTAACTATCAGATATGCCATTCTCTTTTGTAATTGAAAATATATTTATTTTGATAATGTTAAGTTAATTTGACAAAATACAGTCCCATGTCAAATTTATTTGAATAATGTTGCAATCTCATAATTATATATGTACTATCATTATTACATGGTGTTAATAAGGTATAAGAAAAATAATTCATCCTCATCATACTTTTTTTTTAGGTCTACAATAACTGTCATCACATAACTAAGAACACTGAAGTATAATTAGTTAATAAGAAAAAATTAAAGTAATCCCATAATTCTCCCAAAAGCTAAATCTTTTAATTCATCTTCAAGATTTTGTCTAATAGCTTCTGTAGTTCTTTAAAGTACGTATTTATTGGTGTTATTTATCAACTCAACTACAAAGTAGTGTAATTTTCTGTTATGAGTCTTGTTCCCAAACTTTTCGATCAGACTATAAATGTCATGCGTCTAAAAAATCCTACTAATATAATGTCCAATTTAAAATTCGAATTGTCAAAAACTCAATGTCCAAGTATATATTAATTAAAGATTATGTAATTCCGTTGTACATTTTAAAATAAAATCGTATATTTTCCTCGAAAGTTCTTTCATTATTTATTGAAGTCTAATTTATACAGCGTGTCGTTACCATCGCGACAAAAAATGAACACACGTCTAACGCTACTTGCCAATAATCATAAAAAATATTAACGTTAAACAAAATCCATAATTAAAAAAAAATATTTTTCAAACAAACTAATTAAGTAAAAAAGAAACAAAACTTGTAACACCTATACAACTCGCGCCACAGCGCCGCATTACAAGCCTCTCCTTCTAGCAGTATGTTTTGTCTCTTTTAAATTCATTCAATCCATTCATAATATGCTTTGTGACCTTTACGTTATAGTGTTATACGTAAGGTTGTTCTAAAATTGATGTAAATATTGATGTTTAAAGAATGTAAATGTTTAATACAATTTTAAAAAGTTATCCCCTAATGTCTGTTCATTTATTGTCGCGATTGTAAAGACACGCTGTATACAGTCTCATAGAGCTGTCTGTGATTTTCTTCTATTGCAGGTACATCATTAATTGTCATTACTCACAGACTAAACTAGAGATGCTTACGCATTATTGTCATTACTGTAATGAATATCAGTAACTTCTAACGTCAATAACGTAGATTCAGGTGAGTATGGTGGTGCAATTGATAAGCCATAGGGTGATACGCGGGCGGTCGTGGTTTCTATGAATCGAATGTGACCCACAGATAATAAATTGTTTCGGATCTGGGTGGTCGAACTTTATCAGCTCGATTCAAATGTTGTGTCGAAACTCGATCCCATATAGTTTATAGGCTTAAAAGCCCTATATGGGAGAATGATATTTTTTTATTTATTTATTGGATTACTATACTATACTATTGGACTACGTAAGATACAGCCAACTCAGATAAATACAAATTGTTTGTTACATAGTACAATAGATCACTGTTCTCACATTTATAAGTAACCACATCATGCGTTTTATCCTGTTACTGTAATGAAAACACTATACAAATTATGTAAGTTAAAATAAGACAAAGGTCAATCATGATATTTATGATAAAGGTAAGTCAACATTTTTAATTTTTGCAATAAAAGTAGCGATGCTATCGAAGTGAATGTCAATATCTGTATTCTTCTCAACATATTCATTGTACAAGTGGGTGGCGCGGACCAACGGTGAAAAACGACCCAAATTAGTTCTGGATAGCCTGGACTTGAGCAATTTGCATGGATATCTCGGGATTCTGGCGGGGACATTGTATGTTAGTCTATTAAGCAAAGGCGGACAATCGATAGATCCATTAACTATTTTGTGTAAAAATTTTAAATCTAAATGAGCTCGACGTTCCGTAAGTTTTATGAGATTGAAATGCTTTAATTTCTCCTCATATGTTTTGGTAGTTATAGGTGCTCTGTATCGATATGCAAGAGTAAGAACAAATCGTTTCTGAATTCTCTCAATTCTATCAACATGTATTTTATAATTGGGACACCACACAGTGCTGCAATATTCCAACTTACTCCTTACATATGTATTGTAGAGATGAATTACAGCGTCTGGTTTCTTAAAATGTTTGGTACATCTTAAGATAAAGCCTAATGCTTTGTTTGCTTCGGTAATAATTTTATCTATGTGGTCTGAAAAGCTCAGCTTACTATCCATTGAAACGCCAAGATCGCGAACAGGACTAACAGTTTTAAGTATATAATTAGATATGGAATAACTAGTTTCTGACGTTTTCTAGTAAACTGTGCGTGCTGACATTTAGAGATATTAAGA